AGAGAGACCCTGTTTCAAAAAGAAAAAAAAAGTAATTTGAGCGAAGGCATGTTGCTCTTAAAATCCTGCAGCTTTGCTCTTTGATCTGAGGATAAAGTTCTAAGTGTTGTAAGGGCATCTCTTTCACTTTCCACAACTCCCCAGTTTGTCTAGGGCTTTTTTTTTTTTTTAAGATGGAGTCTCATTCAGTTGCCCAGGCTGGAGTGCAGTGGCACAATCTTGGCTCACTGCAACCTCTGCCTCCCGAGTTCACGCGATTCTCCTACCTCAGCCTCCCAAGTAGCTGGGATTACAGGCACCTGCCACCATGCCCGGCTATTTTTGTATTTTCAGTAGAGACGAAGTTTTACCATGTTGGCCAGGATGGTCTCGAACTCCTGACCTCAAGTGATCCGCCTGCCTCTGCCTCCCAGAGTGCTGGGATTACAGGCGATTACGGGTGTGAGCCACCATGCTTGGCCCTTGGGGCCTTTATAGATGCTGTTCTCCCTTCCTTCATTTAGGGACTCCCCTCTTTTCTTAGTACAAATGTAGCTTGATAGTAATAGCTATTAACATTCATCCAAACAATTTGTGTATTCATATGTATTCATTTATTCTCACAATAACCCTATTAAGTGTTAATAAGGTTTATTAGTATAGTTCAGATGAGAAGTGTGAGGGTCAGAAATGAGAACTAGCTTGCCCAAGGTCATACAGGTAATAAGCTCTGCCACTAGACAGTAAGCTTAATGAAGTCAGAGCTTGTGTGGGTTTTGCTCATTTGTGCCTAGTATTCATTTGTTTATTTAACAAATATTTAGGCCAGGTGCAGTGGTTATGCCTGTAATCCCAACACTTTAAGAGACTAGAGTGGATTGCTTGAGGTTGCAGTGGAGTTTGAGGTTACAATGAGCTATGATCATGTCACTGCACTCAAGCCTGGGCAACACCGTGAGATTTTGTTGCTTAAAAAAAAAATACAAAAAATAAATAAATAAATAAAAAGAGCCGGGCACAGTGGCTCATGCCTGTAATCCTAGCACTTTGGGAGGCTGAGGTGGGTGGATCACCTGAGGTCAGGAGTTCAAGACCAGCCTGGCCATTATGGTGAAACCCCATCTTAAAAAAAAAAAAATACAAACAGGCCGGGCACGGTGGCTCACACCTGTAATCCCAGCACTTTGGGAGGCCAAGGTGGGCGGAACACAAGGTCAAGAGATTGAGACCATCCTGGCCAACATGGTGAAACCCCATCTCTACTAAAAATACAAAACATTAGCTGGGCATGGTGGCGTGCGCCTGTAGCCTCAGCTGCTCGGGAGGCTGAGGCAGGAGAATCACTTGAACCCGGGAGGCAGAGGTTGCAGTGAGCCGAGATCATGCCACTGCACTCCAGCCTGGGTGACAGAGAAAGACTCTGTCTTAAAAAAAAAAAAAAAAAAAAAAAAAGAAAAACTAGCCAGGTGTGGTGGTGCACTCCTGTAATCCCAGCTACTCAGAAGGCTGAAGCATATGAATCACCTGAACCTGGGAGGCAGCAGTTGCAGTGACTCGAGATTGCGCCACTGCACTCCAGCCTAGGTGACTGCAAGATTTCATCTCAAAAAAAACAAAAGAGAGAAAGAAAAACAAGAAAACACACACACAAACACAAATATTTATTGAATATTTATTTTTGTTTGTTTCTTTTTTTTTTTTTTTTTTGAGATGGAGTTTCGCTCTTGTTACCCAGGCTGGAGTGCAATGGCGCGATCTCGGCTCACCGCAACCTCCGCCTCCCGGGTTCAGGCAATTCTCCTGCCTCAGCTTCCTGAGTAGCTGGGATTACAGGCACGCGCCACCATGCCCAGCTAATGTTTTGTATTTTTAGTAGAGACGGGGTTTCACCATGTTCACCAGGATGGTCTCAATCTCTCGTGATCCACCCGCCTCGGCCTCCCAAAGTGCTGGGATTACAGGCTTGAGCCACTGCGCCCGGCCTATTTTTGTTTGTTTCTTTGGAAACAGTCTTGCTCTTTCGCCAGACTGTAGTGCAGTGGCGTGATCTCTGCTCACTGCAACCTCCACCTTTCTGGTTCAAGTGATTCTCCTGCCTCAGCCTCCCAAGTAGCTGAGACTACAGGGCGTGCCCATGCCCAGCTTTTTGTATTTTTAGTAGAGTCGGGTTTTCACCATGTTGGCCAGGATGGTCTTGATCTCTTGACCTTGTGATCCGCCCACTTTGGCCTCCCAAAGTGCTGGGATTACAGGTGTGAGCCACCGGGCCTGGCCTTATTTATCTATTTATTTTTTAGCAACAGGGTCTTGCTCTGTTGCCCACGCTGGCGTGTAGTGACATGATCATAGCTCACTACAGCCTTGAACTCCTAGCCTCAAATGATCCTCCTTCCTCAGATTCCCAACTAGCTGAAACCATAGGCATGTGTCTCCACATTCCAGCTAATTTAAAAAAATGTTTTTGTAGAGATGGGGTCTCACTTTGTTTTCCAGGCTGGTTTCAAACGTCTGGGCTCAAGCAATCCTCCTGCCTCAGCCTCCCAAAGCACTGGATTACAGACATGAGCCACTGGGCCTGGCCAGTTCCTGAACATTTAGTACATACTATGTTAAGCACTGTTCTAGATTCCTGTTCTCGTTAAGCTCGTATACCAGTGTGGAAAAGATAGATACTAAACAGGTAAACAGATACAGGAACAACATAATTTTGGGTAGGATAACAATCTTGAAGACAAAAAGACAAGTTGGTGTGATAGTGATTAACAATGCTGACAGGCGACTTTAGACCAGAGAGGGTCTAGAAGACTTTCCTGAGAAAGGAATCTGTAAAAGGACCACACCCATAAATGTTTCTTTCTTTCTTTTTTTTGAGACAGAGTCTTGCTTTGTTGCCCAGGCTGGAGTGCAGTGGTGTGATCTCGGCTCACTGCAACCTCTGCCTCCCGGGTTCCAGCGATTATCCTGCCTCAACCTCTGCGTAGCTAGGACTACAGGTTCGCACCACCATGCCTAGCTAATTTTGTATTTTTAGTAGAGATGGGGTTTCTTCATGCTGGCCAGGCTAGTCTCGAACTCCTGACCTCAGGTGATCCACCTGCCTCAGCCTCCCAAAGTGTTGGGATTACAGGCCTGAGCCACTGCGCCCAGCCAGTGTTTCTTGATTTAATATACTTACTAGAATATAAACTCTGTGAGAGAGGGAGTGACTTCTGGTCCACCATGGTATCTCCAGCACCTGTATTGACATTGGCATAGAGTAGGCTCAGATTAACCATTTATTTGAATGAATTAATATATAAATACATTTACTTAAATCAGTGCTTTTCAAGGGGGCTGTCTGTGTGCCTTTTGGCAATTTTTTGGTTTTGGTTGTCACAGTGATGGCAAAGGTGGTTCCTGGCATTTATGGAGGAAAGGATGCTATGTATCTTGCAATACATGTGGACAGTACCATATAACATAGTCCCATAAAGTGATATGACTTTCAAATGACCTGCCAGACCCGCATGCAGATGAAAAATCTTTTTGTAATTATTCAACTTTAAACATAGAAACAGAAAATATTTCTGTGCCCTTAAATTCAAACTAAATGTCCAGGAATGCCACCAGCATGTCAATAGAGGGGATGCTTGTGTTTCGTTTCATTGAAGCTTTACCAAAATTTGCTCATCTTTTCAGAAAATCACATTACCTATGGATATTGCTTGCATTTATAGCTCTTGACGATTCTACCTCTAGGTCAACAGTGTTCTGAAAACTTCACATATCTTCTGCTGTATTTGGACCCAAACATTTACCTATTGGACCAACTATTATTTTATTTGAATTTATTTTATGTCACCTTTATTTCACAATTTGGCATTGCATTGAATTTTCAACATTATGCGTGTGGGCAGGTTAAATGGCCTCTAGGTTCTGTTCTCGGGTGATGGGAGGGAGGGTGTTAACGATTTATTTGTTACAGAAAGGGGCCCTGGGGGTCTCCGGCAGCCGCTAGCTGGGCGGTCCTCCGCGCGCCAGGGGTCGCTGTGGCGCCGCTCCGCCGCGCCGGGTCGCTCTCGCGTGGCCGCCCCGCCTCGGGCCCCCGGGCCGAGTGGGCGGGCACGACTGCGCCCAGGTCGCGAGGCGCCCTTCGACCAGCAGCGCCCGGGGCGGGCGGGTATAAATGGAGCGGTGGCTCCCTCGGCCGCCTCTCTCCGCCCCGGGTCGCTGCCGCCTCCGTCGTTTTCGGGCTCCACAGCCTGAGGAAAAAAAGAGAAAAAGATAAAAAAAATCCGAAAACGCTTCAAAATCCTTAAAAAAAAAAAGGGGGAAAGAAAAAGCGAGTCCTCCTCGGAGAACCCGCGGGGAAGTCACTTTCGCACGCTTCCGGCCTGCCCCGCGCCCGTCGCCGCCGCGCTTGGCGTCCGTCGGTCTCCGTCGGTCCCGGGGTGAGCCGCCCTCCCGGCCCGCCGCGCCCTCCGCCCCCTCCGCCCGCCGGAGCCCCGCGCCAGTCCCGCGCACCACGTGTCCGCGCTGCCCTTCGCCGCCTGCCCAGGGCTCGCGGAGTCGGCGCCCACAAAGATTTGGTTTCCCCGTGCCCCGGCGGTTGTAATCTTAAACCGCCGGAGCCCGAGGCCTATATTTATAGAGAAACGCGTGTCCCCGAGGCCGCCGTGGGCAGCGTCCGGTCGCCTCTTAAAGGATCTTTACCCTTCGGAAGGGGATTCCCCATTTAATTTTTTTTCCTACTTTGATTTTTTGAAATTTGGAGCTTCGCATCAGGACCGCGGAGAAGTGCAAAGTCGCGGGGAGAGCTGTATTGTGCGGAGAGCCTTTTGTCTGCGGTGCCGCGGCCGTGGGAGCCGACCCCCGCCTCCCATTTTCGTCCAGTCTCCGAGCCCGGCGACTCCAGCTCATCCTTGCCGGTGCCACCTGTGAGCCGCGGCGCGGGCCCCGGCTCCGAGGGCTCCCCTTTTGTCCTGCGGCGGGCCCGATAAGAAGTCCTCCTGGCGGGGCTCGGGGTGGTGGGGGGCGGGGAGATGAACGCTGCGGCTAGCAGCTACCCCATGGCCTCCCTGTACGTGGGCGACCTGCACTCGGACGTCACCGAGGCCATGCTGTACGAAAAGTTCAGCCCCGCGGGGCCTGTGCTGTCCATCCGGGTCTGCCGCGATATGATCACCCGCCGCTCCTTGGGCTATGCCTACGTCAACTTCCAGCAGCCGGCCGATGGTGAGTAGAAACTGTGCCCACACGTGTGTGGGAGCCCGGCGGACCCCGGGAGTCGCCTTCCGGCAGGGCCCTCCTGCCGAGGAGGGCGGCCTCAGAACAGCACGTTGCCACCGAAGGTGGGAGCCGGGTGCAGAGGTTGAGAGCACGGACCTGGCATCAGATGACTCGAGTTTCAATCTTTATATCACTTCCTAACTGGGTGACCTTGGGCTACTCGCTGGTGTTGCTGGTGGTGGGGTTGGAACTCAAGGAGACTGTAAAACAGGAGTAGAGGAAAGTCACTGGCATTCCACTGTGTGTGGTCCTTGTCAGTGAGGCTGGGCTGTTAGAGACCCTTGCTTGTGCCCTCTCACAGGCCTGCCAAAAAGGCGGGACGTGTAAAACACAGCTCCCCTCAAAAGTTTTTACATTGCAAAGATTCTGCCCACTCCCCTACCTTTACTAACCTTGACCACCTGATGTGCTGATAAGGGATAGGTCAGGGCAGGCAGGAAGCAGGGGGAAGGATTCTGTGCGTTAAACTCTAGCAAAGACTTGGGTTAGTGTCACAGGAGCTGCGTGTGCCAGGCCGGTTCCTTGGTCAGTGTGTTTGCCACTGGAGTGGAGGAGTGCTTTGCTCTGGACAGATGGTATCCAGGCTTTGCTGTAGAGAATGGTGTGGAGGTAGTTTGTGGAAGAGTCACTTGAAAATCTGGGCTGGTGGCATTTGTCACCTTAGCTGTAACAGCCCTTTACACTTGTCAGAGCCCTTTTACTTCATCCGATCTGAGGAAAATGGAACTCCTGAGAAGGAAAAGGAAGCCAAGTTGGGACTCCCAGCACAGTGCTCTGCCACCCCAGATTGTGGCCTTAGCAGGAGCATGGAGAGGTATGCTACAGGCGTGGCAGGAGTGAGGCCAGAGGAAACCTGATCAGAGGCTGCACGTGACTCCAGATTAAAAAGGAACAACTGCAGAGATTATGACGGGCCCCAAGTTTTGTCCCCACTTTGTTCACTGTCTGAGGCCCAGAGTTTACTTGCTCAGGTTGCAACTGAGACCAGAGAATTGGACATGTTGAGAGGGACTAGCTGAGTTCTGTCTATGGCCATAGGAGCACAAAGAAGGTAGCTGAGTGTGGTCATTTTGGGGGATAGTATACCTCATTAGCTGTTGTCTGCCTTCTTGACTTCTTAGAGATAGCAGAAGCTATTGGTCAGTGTGTCTGCCAACACATACTTCTGCAGGACCTCTCTCTGCTATAAATAAGTGCAGCCAGATTTGTTAGACTAAGCCGGCTTGCCTTGTGCAGTGCTGTCTGGAAATAGATGAGGAGCTGTGTTGAAATGGGCTCCTTTAATGCTAATTAATGAAATAGTTTGCGATCCCAGCTGTGTATCTCTTCTTAGCCATCAAAAGCAAGCTCCTCTGTACCTGAACTGTTTTGTGACTTTGTTCTGTCTTGTCATCTCCCCTTTCCCCAACTACCCCCATACAGATGAGCCAATCTTCTGAAGTGGGTGGGAAAAGTTGTTGGAAATAATGAGTGAAAATAAATTCTTCTGGCTGATGCAACAGTTGAGCTTGTAGAGCGCCAGAGTTGGGGAATTTTGTCCCCCGATTTAAGTGAGATGCTGCCTTGAGGCAAGGAGCAGGTTGTCCTGCTCTGAGCCTGTCTAAATCCCCTCATGGAGGAGGTTCTGGGTGATGTCATTTTAAGTAGATGCCATAATAGCCTTAAGGAAAAGTGGCCACCAGATCTGGGCATCCTTGTTGCCATTAGGGATGAGAAGTGTTTTGGCTGGCAGGTGGCGATATATTTTAGCTTTTGTTTCTTTTTTTTTTCTTTCTTTTTTGAGATGGAGTTTCACTCTTGTCGCCTAGGCTGGAGTGCAATGGTGTGATCTGGACTCACTGCAACCTCCACCTCCTGGGCTCAAATGATTGTCTTGTTTCGGCCTCCTGAGTAGCTGGGATTACAAGCACCCGCCACCATGCCCAGCTAATTTTGTATTTTTATTAGAGACGGGTTTCCTCCATGTTGTTCAGGATGGTCTTGAACTCGACCTCAGGTGATCTGCCTGCCTCCCAAAGTGCTGGGATTAGAGGCATAAGCCTCCATGCCCGGCCTAGCTTTTGGTTCTTTAAATGTTCTCTGTGGCGCACACGTAGACTTGGTTGGGAAGCTGAGGAAGCATTCCAAGGCACTGCATGGGGAAATAGGTTGGGCACGTGGGGTAGCCAAACTCCTAGAATTCTACAGAACTCCAATTAAGGCTTCAGAAGGCCTGGAAACGAGTAGGTGTGGGGCCTACTACCTGCGCACTGTCTGCTTAGGCAGAAGATATCATGGTTTAATCCTTGTGGTGATAGTGCAGATAACTTTTCCATGTATGACCAGTTGTATCCATTTTGATGATTGATGCTTTTTTGTTTAATTTTTGTTCTCAGAAATTGAAATAAAAGAAACTGGACTGAATTCAGGGATAGCACTTTTTTTCTCCAGATCATTTGCTCCTGGATTGCAGACTAAATGACTTGATAACTTTGATAATCTGGTATTAGTTTCCTAATCACTAGCTAGCTGCAAAGCTTAGTTACCTAAACTTAAGTTTGTTCATTTTGTAAAATGTGTAATTTCAGCTGTCCCACCTGAGTCATGGTGGGTGGTAGTCTGCAAAGTCTCTTCTAAATGGTAAAGCTTGGTCAAATGTGAGGTATTATCATTGGATCTTGGTGTCATTAAGGCCACTTAGATTGTCTTCACTTATGACCCCTTTATCCAACAAGGGCACAGACCCAGAGGGGTGTTCAGACTTCTGTCATGAAGTAGAGTCATTAACTGGAACTTACTCTGCCCTTAGTAACAGTGCAGGCTGGAGGAATCTGATGCCCTTTTATTTTAATAGAGTTGCCTTTTATCAAGGGTGATTACCTTGAAAAGTCCTGGAGTAATCTGTTCTTAGGATGTTGGCCTGTGGGAGCTGCCGTTTTCCATCCCTATTGAAATGTGTTTCTCTCTTACAGCTGAGCGGGCTTTGGACACCATGAACTTTGATGTGATTAAGGGAAAGCCAATCCGCATCATGTGGTCTCAGAGGGATCCCTCTTTGAGAAAATCTGGTGTGGGAAACGTCTTCATCAAGAACCTGGACAAATCTATAGATAACAAGGCACTTTATGATACTTTTTCTGCTTTTGGAAACATTCTATCCTGCAAGGTAAACAGTGATTAAATGATTTTAGCAGAATAATTAATTGAATCTTGAAAACAAGATAAATAACCAAATGGAGAACTACCTGGGAAGTGGGCATCAGGGTATGGGGATTTTCAGAATGCTGGGAATAGACCCCTAAAAGTTCCCATGGATAATCTCAGGGGCACACCCAGCATAACCAGCACGTGCTTTTGTGCACTGTTCTTTCCTCAGCCTGAAATAGCCTTCCTGTTTTTAAGCTTTGGAAAGCCCCAGAAGGTTTTTCTTTTGGGTTGGGGGAAAGGAGCAGATCAGAGAAGTGTCTCTGGTCTTCAGTAAACTTAATCCCTTTAGAAGCATACATTCACTCTCTTCCTTCTACACATCAGTTTTATGCTGAGCACTTTAAAACTTACACAGTGGTGGTGTATGTGTCTAATGCCACACTACACTGAAAATCTGTTGTGGACTTGGAAAATGGTTTGTCTTCTTGCAGCACTGTGTTTTGCGTAAGGTACAAGATACCCTGAGGTTCTCATGTCCCTGGAGCTGGCCAGTGGTGCTAAAGTGGTCCACCTTGTCTTTGACAGGTGGTGTGTGATGAGAACGGCTCGAAGGGTTATGCCTTTGTCCACTTCGAGACCCAAGAGGCTGCCGACAAGGCCATCGAGAAGATGAATGGCATGCTCCTCAATGACCGCAAAGTGTGAGTGTCCCAGTCCGGAGCAACAACCATCGCATGAGCCAGCCGTGGCCCCACCTCGGTATTAACTGGCACACACAAGGCGGCTACTGGTTCTCGGCCCAAGTGTGGCCTGCTCCTACCTCTCCACTCCAGGGCTGGTGAGTCTCCCTGCCTGAGCCGTGGCAGCCCTTTTGACTCGCCAAGGTGGGCTTCCTGCCCAAGCCATGGCCTGCCTGCCGCCTCTCCCTTAAAGGCATCTGTCTGTGGGTTTTGTGAGCATCAGCAACTGGGGCTGGCTGGAAGGCAGCTCTAAGCTCACTCTGAGTGGGGGTCTTGGCCAGCGGCAGAGTGGAGAGGGCCCTGGACTGACCAGGAGCTGTATACTAGCAGTGTGACCTTGGCTTTCCTGTGACTCAGGTCTGTCCATGGGTCCCCCGCTAGTGGTTGATGCCAAATTGTCCCCGTGGTTCTCCATTTTCTAACTTATGAATCAGTGACCTAGTAGAAGGCTGGCTCCACAGTAGTACTTGGTGACAATGAAAAATCCTATCCCTTGGCAGAAAAACTTCATAATAGACCTTGTTGCTTTGTTGTGGTTGTTACTATAGAATGCAGAGAGGGGGAACTTAGCAAAGTCATGTGGGGAGGAGAAGAGACAGTAAGTCTTGGCTGTTAGAAGCAAAAATGATTTTTGTCCTTTGTCTCATTGAACATACCAAAGGGTAGGTTAAATTTATAATGTCTATCCAGTGGTTGATCTACAGATACCACTAAAAAGAAATTAAAAAATGTCAGTGTATGGATAAGTTTTTTTTTTTTTTTTTTAAGTATAACAGTACCAAAATGAATAAATTTAAAAAGCAAAGGGTGCCCCTTCGCTCCAACAATCTCATGCCTAGGATTGACCACTGTTAACAGTTTGGTTTGTATCCTTCCAGACCTTTTCTATGCATTTACATAGTTGCACAGAAATGAGCGTTTTAAAAACATGGTCATCAGGTTTCTTCATGAAGGCAGTGTGATGTGGTAGGAGTAGCCCTGGTCTAAGCCAGGAGCCCTGGGGCTGGTCTTCACAGGATAGTCCTGCCTTTTTCTCTTTCTGCTGGGGACTTGGGGTGTCTCTGAGCCTCCTCGGTGGTGGATGGGGATCTCGTGTTTTAACCTCTCCTCTCAGCCTTTATCCTGTATTCCTTTGGGTCCCTGGAAATCATGTTTTATTCCTTTGGATGATTGCTGTTCTTCATGGTTTCTTTTAGATTTGTGGGCAGATTCAAGTCTCGCAAAGAGCGGGAAGCCGAGCTTGGAGCCAAAGCCAAGGAATTCACCAATGTTTATATCAAAAACTTCGGGGAAGAGGTGGATGATGAGAGTCTGAAAGAGCTATTCATTCAGTTTGGTAAGTTGGGGGTCCTCATCCCCTTTCACAGTTCACCAGACCCATCTGTTCTTAAGAGATGAGGACACTGCTCCAGAGATTTGCTTCCAGTGAGTTTCTAGAGGGAAGCCTTCTCTCTAGCTATGCTAGAAATGGTGTTACTAATAGTTCTGTCCTTTGGTGATAGGTAAGACCCTGAGTGTCAAGGTGATGAGAGATCCCAACGGGAAATCCAAAGGCTTTGGCTTTGTGAGTTACGAAAAACACGAGGATGCCAATAAGGTGAGTGCACCACAAAGGCTGGAAAAGCTTGTAAGAGGTGGCCTCAGAGTACGGGTAGGGTCTTGCTATCATCTAGCTGGAGCAGGGATGGTCTGAGTATCTAGTTGTAGATGTATCATTACTGTACTCTGGGATCATCTTCCTGGGTTCCACATGTTAACGTATCGTGTAGGTGTTTACAAAGCACTTGGCACATACCTGTCACCTCAGCTATCAGTTATGGAAAGAATAGGACAGATGTTTGTTCCCTGCATAGGTGAGAGAACTAAAGCCCAGGGAGTGCTGATTTGATAACAGCACAGCAGCTACTTGCTGGCAAAGCATTGTGCCAGACCCTTAGCATTTATCACTTCAATACCTACATAAGCACCTGCAGAATTTACTGGTAGCCAGAAGATTATCACCCTAGGTTCATGTCACCACAATTGTGTTTATACACCTGTACTATTTCTATATTATCTAGATCAATAACCCATTTAAATATTAACCTCACTTTACAGATGAGGAAGTTTGGATTTGTGTGACAGGTGGAATGAATTTAGTTTTCAGTCCTAAGTTGGGACTTAGACCTTTAGAATAAGGCCCCATCTCTGCAACTTGATTTTAAAGACATATTTTTCCTCTCTAGGCTGTGGAAGAGATGAATGGAAAAGAAATAAGTGGGAAAATCATATTTGTAGGCCGTGCACAAAAGAAAGTAGAACGGCAGGCAGAGTTAAAACGGAAATTTGAGCAGTTGAAACAGGAAAGAATTAGTCGATACCAGGTAAGGTGGTCTTGGCCCAGCCCAGCAATGGGATTTGCCGTGAAATGTTTGCAGAATACCCTTACGATTAGCAGGCTTTGTTTTTTGGGACTTGGAGTCTGTTCTTCCTTCCATTTCCCCCAAGAATATCAGGCTTAAAAGGATATATACCTACCACAATGGGACTGATTATTATAGAACCAGAGACAAGAGAAATGAGGTTATTCATCAAGAAGTTCTCTATTCTGGAAGCCTCAGCCTGTTGCTTTTAGCCATGTAGGTTCCTTTTACTTAAATGAGACTCCTTTGTTTGGCATGGCTTCAAGAAGACCCCTGCTGGGGTGAAGCGGTCACGAGCAGCTGTGGGGAGAAGTGACAAAAGGTGACTGCACTGATGATCCTGTCAATTTCAGGGCAGCAGTTTCACAACTTGGGGCTGGCATCAGAAATCATCAGCAGAGCTCGTTAAAACAGATAGCTGGGCTCTAGCCCCAGAGTTTCCTATTCACGGGGTTTGGGGTCTGGCCTGCGAATTTCATTTCTAACAAGTTCCCACAGATGCTGGTGCTCCTGGTCTGGGGGCCACCCTTTGGGAACCACTTTCTTAGGGAATATTTGTGGTATAGAAGTGCAGTTAACAGTCATCTTTTTCCTTCAGGGGGTGAATCTCTACATTAAGAACTTGGATGATACTATTGATGATGAGAAATTAAGGAAAGAGTTTTCTCCTTTCGGATCAATTACCAGTGCTAAGGTATTACAATACTTAGATTTGGGGATCGAAAGCAGTAGTATTCTATTAGAGGCTTATTGGCATTTGTTCCATTGAAGGAATAGAATTTAAATTTTGTTTATTTTTCTAGCAAATTCCTCCTTGCCTTCAGTTACCCATCAGAGTATACATTCTGGGAGAATGGCATTTCATTAGATTAACATTACACTGTTTCCCAAACACTGGAGTCTGCAGAGGAATTTGGCCCAGCCCCTCCCTGCCAACCCAGAGCACCTGAATCTTTCCCATTCCTTGCTGCTTCGTGCCGGTGTGGGGACAGATGGTGCTACAGTATGAGCAGAGGAAATCCAGACAGGTTGTTTTCCATTTGTCTTGGGGCCTGTCTCTACAGCTCTGCCACATTTTCTCCTTGAGAATTAAGGTATTTTGAAGATTTTGGAGGTGGGCTTGGGAACTGCTACCCTGGTCTTATAGAGAGAGGAAAGGAGTGTGGCAGGTTGTTTTTCCATGTTTCTTAGTGTGCATCATTTGCTTGATTTTCTCTGATAATCATATCAACTAAGCAGGGCAAGTAGGAGACTTATTTTACAGTTACGGAATTTTAGTCCTTGAACAAGAGAATGCTGACTATATGAGGATGATGTACAGCTTATCCTTGGCACTTTGCGAGCAGGATGAAAACTGGTGGCATCGGAACATTTTGGGTTATGGCCTGATACAGACTCTGGTCTTGCTCAGCAGAGGTGTGTCAGATACCACAAAGTCCTTTAGTTGATGGGAAGGGAAGCCATGTGGGCTGGTAAAGGCTTAGTGGCCCTGCCCTGCCTCTTAGTGGGAGTTGCTCCCAACCTGGGAATGTTGTGCAAAGCAGTGTTATCAGTTGTAGTAGGGAGTTGGCCAGAAGCCAACTGCGGGTTTGCCCAGTTCCTTACCCTTTCCTTTTTGTAATTGATCCGTTTGACTGGCCCCCATGGGTGTAAGGAGGGATAGTCTCTCTTCGCTTATCTGCCTAGTAGTCAAGTTGGCATTTAAGAAGGGAGCAAAAGACCCATACCTTAAATTGTCAGTCACCATTTTCAAGATCATGGTGTGGCATTTTTTTTCACATACCTAACTGACCCACCTCATTGACAGAGAGTTGTGGAGTGATGCACATCTTTACTTCCTGTCCTCCACTTCAGGAGACTCTGGGCCATTAACTAAGACAAAGCAATGACAGGCACACCAGAGAAGACAGTGAATAGCCTCTTCAAATAAGGAAAAATGCCATTAGTGAATGATGAACTTAATGTGGAAGAAGACTGCCTGAACCGGTAGACCTGTGGCTTTGTAGCTGTTTGGAGTATATAATGGAAATTGAGCCTCAGGAGGGCAAGTAAGACTAGAATTTAGGCTGCCTATCTCTGAGCTGCTCATCTCATTGAATTAATGGTGGCAGTCTTTCTTTTTTTTTTTTTTTTCTCAGACATGGAGTCTTGCTCTGTCACCCAGGCTGGAGTGCAGTGGTGCAATCTCAGCTCACTGCAACCTCCGCCTCCTGTGTTCAAGTGATTCTCCTGCTTCAGCCTCTTGAGTAGCTGGGACTACAGGGGCACATGCCACCACACCTGGCTAATTTTTTGTATTTTTAGTAGAGGCGGGGTTTCACTGTGTTAGCCAGGATGGTCTCGATCTGCTGACCTCAGATCCACCCTCCTCGGCCTCCCAAAGCATTGATGTTACAGGTGTGAGCCACCATGTCCAGCCTACCTGAGCATTTTATAAGTCCTATCCAGTGGTATTCCAAAAGCGTTATCCTGATGTTGCTAAGAGTTTTGTCCACCAAGATCTTAGAGCAGATGAGATCTGAAAATAAACTTCTCAGCACTACTGTCAAGATGTTTTGTGGTTACCCAGGGGTAGCTATCCTCCAGGTATCAGGAAACATCTTTGGGTTCCCAGTTTTAACATTAGCCATATCGTAGTGTTTTGGAACTTCAGCATCACCTGGGGACTTGAAAATGCCTAGGTACCTTAGAGGTTGTGACTTAGTTGGTCTGGGGTAAATCCTATGCCAGGTTTGAACCCCTGACCTTAGACTCAGTGACTGCAGCAGAACCCACGCTTTCTGGTTCTTCTGAATAGTTCCCTGCCCACCCAGGGACATCTCTTTTTCCTTGTCTATTTGTGGGTTTGCTTTGTTTTGTTTTTTGAGGTGGGCTCTTGCTACATTGCTCAAGTTGGTTTCAACCTGCTAAGCTCAAGCAGCCCTCCCACCTCAGCCTCAAAAAGAACTGGGATTACAGGCATGAGCCACCACACCCAGCCAGGGACACTTTATTTCTTAAGTAGCTGGTCTCATTTTGTAGGTAATGTTGGAAGATGGAAGAAGCAAAGGGTTTGGCTTTGTCTGCTTCTCGTCTCCTGAAGAGGCAACCAAAGCAGTCACTGAGATGAATGGGCGCATTGTGGGTTCCAAGCCCCTGTATGTTGCCCTGGCCCAGAGGAAGGAAGAGAGAAAGGCTCACCTGACCAACCAGTATATGCAACGAGTGGCTGGAATGAGAGCACTTCCTGCCAATGCCATCTTAAATCAGTTCCAGCCTGCAGCGGGTGGCTACTTCGTGCCAGCAGTCCCACAGGTAGGTGTGCCATATAGTCACAGCTCTTGGGAACCTGCCTGCTGGCAGTATTATGCAGTGTTGGGGAGAGGGACTTTTGGTTATTAGAGTTCTATAGTGTCAGAATAAGGACCCTTTAAGTAAAAATGAAGGACTTAGCCCTGGTCTCACACACACACACTCACACACACGCAACGGTAGCGTAAAACAGTCCCCATTAGCTGACCCCTTAGCATTTGAATTCTAAATAATTAGCTTAGGTCCTGGTTAGTGAGATGAGCTACTGCTCTAGTGTGGGTTCAGTCCTTAAAAGGGCGTTGGGGTATTCTTCTGTCTTACAGGCTCAGGGAAGGCCTCCATATTATACACCTAACCAGTTAGCACAGATGAGGCCTAATCCACGCTGGCAGCAAGGTGGGAGACCTCAAGGTAGGTGGTGGGGAACAGTGATTTGACGGCTTAGGATACCTGTTCTGGTCTCCCCTGCCTTTCCTGCTTCCCCACTCTGAGGCAGTCTAGATTCTGGTCCACCTCACTTCTCAGTGATGTGCAATTTTTCTCTCTTCATCAGGCTTCCAAGGAATGCCAAGTGCTATACGCCAGTCTGGGCCTCGTCCAACTCTTCGCCATCTGGCTCCAACTGGTAATGCTCCGGCCTCTCGTGGCCTCCCTACTACCACTCAGAGAGTCGGTGAGCAAACTGGCCTTTAGAAGTGTGGCCCGGGGAGGAGGGAGTCAAGATGACTAGGCTCTGCCCTGGGTTGGTCAGTTTGTTGGGCTCGAATTTATTGAGTCCTTGTTCTGTCATCTTAGCTGTGTGCTTAGGTAGGCACTTCAGGAGCAGAGAAACGATAGGAGTTCTAGGTGTGTCCATTGCTTTTAACATTCTTTGCTCATCGGTGACTCATGTGAAAAAGGTTAGTTGCTAGCTGGATGACTACAGAGGCAGCCTGTTCTCTTGGGTGGGTCAGGAATACAAGGAGACAGTTTTTACAGACTATGTCCTGTATCCCAAGTTGTGGAAAGAGTTGGATGTTAACCTTTGGCTCATCCTCAAAAGTAGCAGTAGAGGCCCCCTGTGCAATGTGTTGTGTAAATATGCTTTGAAGTTTCTCCTTCCGTGGAACGTGGCCAGTCGGACATCTGCCGCCAAAACTGATGTGCATTTGCTGGTCTGTTGTAGGGTCTGAGTGCCCGGACCGCTTGGCTATGGACTTTGGTGGGGCTGGTGCCGCCCAGCAAGGGCTGACTGACAGCTGCCAGTCTGGAGGTGGTATTGGATGCACACAGAAGGGGGAAAGATGGGATTTGACGGGTCTTTGCCCAGACTGATGGGCTTTAATTGTATTTGTTCTTTCCCTAAGGCGTTCCCACAGCTGTGCAGAACTTAGCGCCACGTGCTGCTGTTGCTGCTACTGCTCCCCGGGCTGTTGCCCCCTACAAATACGCCTCCAGTGTCCGCAGCCCTCATCCTGCCATACAGCCTCTTCAGGTGAGGTCCACCAAACAAAATGCTCAAAAGGATTTCCCCCATTTCCACTTGATGTAAAAGAAGTTTTGCTTTGATTCCTTCAACAGGTATTAAATGCCTGCTATGTGTTATGATGCTATGTTCTGATTTCACTGTCCCTGCCCTTCAGGGACTCACTGTGGGAGAGAAGGGGCTTAAAAGTGCTCTTCTGAATGACAGTTCACTCAGAAGTGCCTCAGAGGGGGCAGCCAGTGCTCTCTTATTATGATGTAATGTGCTCACTCAGCTCTTTGAGCCTCCAGGTCACTTCCACATCTAGTGACCTTACTGGATCTTTGGCTGCTCTGTTAAGATGTGATTGGTACATTAAGCCAGGAAATAACTTCAACTTGCAGATCAGATGTTCACCTTCAGCGCTGTAAAGTGTGTGTAGGAGGGGAAGGGGTTGAACCCAGAGCTTAGATTTTCTAAGCTATAACTTGCTGTCTCTAGAGCTGTGCTCTAGATGCAACTAGTTTATTTCAGAGCTTAATAGCAGTTTGCTGTGGAGGTACCACACTAAGCCTTCAGGCCCATAAGCTGCTTAGATTACTCTTTAACTGTCCTGTCTCATACTCTCTAAGTTGAGGATTTCTTAGAACTTGATGCTATGTAAAATACCTTTTTTTTTTTTTTTAACTAACATTGACATTGCATGTTGACCGTTTTTAAGCATTTGATATAAAAACACTTGGTACAATTAAGGTGATGTGGAATGTAATTATAAATGTGTTGATAATTACACCCTTTGACTCAGTCTGCACTAGGAATTACCCTAAAAGCAAACTAATTTTCAGGAAAAGGTTATATACAAGTGTTCGCTTTACCCTTATGTATAACAAGGCTTTGCATTCTTGGGTAACTTTGGGTACATTAAGGAAATAGCAGGCAATGCTTGCCTGGCCCTATAGGTTTGTTTTATTATTTACATTTCACTTCGCTTTCTGATAGCATGCCATTTTAATTAATTGTAATTGTTTGTGTTTATGTCCATATCACTCTTGTTTATCACCACACCCGTTGGTTCTTCAAGGACTGAAATTAGTTCCTAGAGAGCAAGGACATCCATCTCGTTCACATAGTCAGATGTTCAGATACTGAACAGGCTCTCAACCACCATCAAGTGTTACCTTTCCTCCATGCTAACCCACTGCCTCTCTTGGTTCCCAGGCACCGCAGCCTGCCGTCCATGTGCAGGGGCAGGAGCCACTGACTGCCTCCATGCTGGCTGCCGCACCCCCCCAGGAACAGAAGCAGATGCTGGGTGAGTGACCCACTTGCTTGCAGAACAAGAAGGGGCCAGAGTCTGGTGCCAACTAGGATACCAGTGTACATTGTTTACTGGGATTTGATTTTTTTTTTTTTTAATTAACTACCCTTTCCATAGGAGAACGTTTATTCCCACTCATCCAAACAATGCATTCAAACCTGGCTGGAAAAATCACAGGAATGCTGCTGGAGATTGACAACTCTGAGCTGCTGCACATGTTAGAGTCCCCTGAGTCTCTCCGCTCCAAGGTGAGCTGGGGCTCAGACCCTGCAGCTTCAGCTCTCAGCTTGGGAAGAGTGGGGGCAAACTTGTACCCCCAGGTGCAGCAGAGAGGGGTCTGCTGCCTCCATGACCCCTCTCTTCATGCCTTGACTGACTGGGGGCTGCTATGGGTATTTGGGGAAGCAGCACCAGAAGCCTAGAATCATCTGTGTGGTTGGCTTTGGTCCACCACTAGATCTGGGCACTAGGGGAGGGGTGGAGTAGCTCTCCTGCTTCACTGACCACTTGGAGATTTCTTGCAGGTGGATGAAGCTGTAGCAGTTCTACAGGCTCATCATGCCAAGAAAGAAGCTGCCCAGAAGGTGGGCGCTGTTGCTGCTGCTACCTCTTAGACAAGGAAAAACCGTATGTGTGGCTATTTTCATTTTCTGCAGTGGTTTCGATTTGTGAATATGATCCTAAAAGAAAGGGGCAGTGGATAGAGCCATTTTCTGCCATTTAACCTGGTAACTTGGGTCAGGCTGTTCCTTGAACTTTTTCTGTCACCTGGATGAGTTAATAGGGAAAAAGGAAATTATAGATTGTGAGTTTAAAGGAGCAGCTTTCTCCATAAAGAGCCACCTCGTCGGAGCTTCTAAGAATCGCCTTTCTCATAATCAGATCCCAAAGCCTTGTTCCTGTGAGCATTGTCTTTGTGGTTTGACCTGAGGTTGTATATATTCTCTCTGCTTAGCTCTGTGAATACAATAAACATAAAAGACTTTGGTGTCGAGCGTCATGGTCTAGTGGGAGAGACAGGCACACCTGATAAGAGTTAGTTAAACAGAGTGTGTTGCAGGTGACGTCTTATGAGGACTGTGGACTTTGCAGGCTTGAGTGAATACAGGTCAACTAGTACTGGTGATGGTGGTGGGTGCTCCAGATAGAGAAAGAAGAGACAGTAAAATGAACTAAAGACCAGAGCTGGTGCGTCAGGAGGGTTGACTTGGCATAGTCATGACCCTCTTGTCAAGGGCCTCAGGAGCCTTGTCATCTAGTGGTAGAGACCAGAGATGGTGCTAAACATCGTACAAGTGCACAGGAGGACAGAACCAACAGAATGCCCAAAGTGTCAGTACTGCTGAGGTTGAGAAACCCTCTTCTAGACTACCTTCCTTTATCTACTAGATGTTAATGAATCTCTGAACTATTTAATTATGCATTTATTTGTGTTGGTGCTTTTCTTTACAGGATTCAAAAGCCAAATAACCCCTCATGGAATTCAGCTCAAGGTTTGAAGACTTCCTAGCTTGTCCTATGGACCTCAACACCAAGAACTACAAATTGCAAATTTAATAGGTCATTTTGTATCAAAAGGTCAATTATGAAGCACCTAGAATTTTTCAATTATACAAATATATTCTCTGGGTTCTGCTGTGGCCCAGACAGTGTTAACTTTTTTTTTCTATTGTGGGTTTTGATTTTCCCCCCAGAAATTGGTTTTATTTGATGTACCCAAGTCTTACGTTTCTCAATAAAGAAAAAAATCTCTATAAAACTGCCTCTGTCTCTGACCACAGTTTTACTCTATGAATTCCAGTTTTCACTGGAAGTAACTTTAGGATATGAATTGGTTCTAATGATAGCTTATTTCTTGACTTGAGCTGACAATTTTAAGGTTAGCAAGATACATAGAACTGTTAAAATCCTGCCCTAGGGCATTCTATTACAGTATGATTGTTATATTAATCCCCTTTAACTTAGGTAACAGATCTGATGTGGTCAGGGCAGAGTGGGCTTGGTACACTCCCCAAGGACATAGATAGGGTGAGATCTGCAGATCCCAGCTGGTTAGTTGAACCCTGTCCTTCCTGATCTCGGTTGGGGTTTGTCCTGTCCCCTCTGTCCTGTGGTCAGTTTATGCTGCATGTGAGTCAGTAAATAGAGTTGCCCAGATTGTGCAACCAAGGTTTCCCCTGACAGTGGGAAAAAGTTTGGGTGATTAGCAAATGGTGAAGTCCTCAGTGTTTGTGATTCCTTTGATGCTCAAAGTGACAGTCAAGTGACATCCTAAAGGCCAAGATCACATCTCTTTGTAGCCTGCTTTTCCTGCAGCTCCAGCCTTGCTTGCTTTCCTTCCTGAAACTTTTGTGGTCCTTCTGTAGGGCCCCACCCAGGCAGTTCTTAGAATGTTCATCCCTCCTGGTGGGTTCCTTTTCCTTAAGATCCGGTGTCACCTTAAGAGATCTGAATATGTCCTTACTTCCTGACAGCCCCTTCTTCCCTTAATGCGATGCCGGATGGGGCGGGGCACGATGCAGGCTTCCGGCGGAAGTGCTGAAAGCAAGATGGCGGCCGCCGAAAGGGTTCCATATGCTGGCGTGGAGCGAGCCGGGGTACTCGCGGGCTGTGCCAAGATTGAGCCGGGGGTGGGCAGAGTGGAAAGGGTGCAGACCCATGGCCCCAGGTGTCCTGTAGGGCTTCACGCTCTCGACCTGTGAATGGTGCCCGCTAGCGCCCAGATCCATTTTCCCTACCCCTTCCAACCCTGGACCCAGAGCGGTGGTTGCGATCTGTTACCGTGACTTCAACCCTCATTCCAAACTGGCGCCCGTTTGTTCCACAAACTCCATTACCTCTGGCCCGTTAGAGGAAGGAGGTCCCAGAATAGCTGGGAAATTACGAGAACAGCCTCACTGTGCGGGTTGGTGAATGCTGTGATGCGGTTGTATGGTGGACGGTGATGTTGAAAGCCAGACTGGGGAATGACTTCTCCATCCGGAGAGGTGAGGGTAAACTTCCGGGATGCTCTGAGTCCAGAGATGGATTTGAAATATGCAAAGTTAACCAAGCAGCTCAGACGGGAGATAGGCTGTTGCCTGAATGGAGACAAGCAGCAAGAGCCAAAACCAAGTGTCTGGCACTTGGGGGCAAATAGTTTGGCATTGGAGACAAGGGGAAAAGAGGCAAGGGGGTGGGACCTAGATTATGAAGGTCTTATATGCCATACTAAGAAATGCAGATTTTTTCCATTGGCCATTGGACTGCTTTTGAAGAATACCAACCAGAAGAGTCATGTTGATCATATTTGTATTTTCTTGGGATAATGGAGGAGAGAGGAAAGGCGATCACGTCCAGGAAATTGTCACCATACCCAGGGACACAATGTAGGTTAGAAGAGGGTTGGGGAGACGAGTATACCTCACAAGTGATTTTGTTATACCCAGAAGAGTATTGGGACCCCACCCTTCCTTTCTTCCCTGTGCTCATGTTAGCCAGGTATTGGAGCAGCTGCATCAAAAGTGTGGTGTCATTGATTCAGAATGCTCTTGGTGTCTTCAGAGGGAGTGAGGACAGAGTTTTTCGTGCTGCTTTTATTCCATTTGGAAACATCAAAGATACTCTAAGATTCTACTGTATTATGAAACAGGTGACACTGAAAAGTACCTCTTATGTCAGATTCCCAATGCCAGGAAAAGAACTTAGGAAAAAATTTTAAGTCATGTGCATTCTGTGTATGGCTGGCTTATAAAATGAAGTTCAGGGGAGTATCTCTTTAGGTCAATATGATGGTGATCTTGGAGATGGAAAAAAAAGGTTCTGAGGACAGTAGGGCTAGGATGATGATGTAGCTATGGATTGAAATTTATAAAAACTAATCTGTTGGAGTTGAGGGTAGACTTTCTAAGTTGGAACCATTTGGGGGCTTTGATTTCTGATCATTTATTATAAAAAGTGTATAGTAAGAATCAGTAGGAGGATAGTTTTAGGAAAAACAATTTTTTTTTTTTTTTTTGAGACAGAGCCTCGCTCTATCAGCAGGCTGGAGTGCAGTGGCGCGATCTCTGCTCCCTGCAACCTCCGCCTCCCGGGTTTAAGCGATGTGATTCTTCTGCCTCGGCCTCCTGAGTAGCTGGGACTACAGGCACATACCACCACGCCCAGCAAATTTTTGTATTTTTAGTAAGACGAGGTTTCACCATGTTGTCCAGGATGGTGTCGATCTCTTGACTTCATGATCCGCCCACATCGGCCTCCCAAAGTGCTGGGATTACAGGTGTGAGCCACTGCACCCAGTTTTAGAGAAAAATGTTTAAGATTTGGCTCTTGTTTTACATCACCTACTGAATAAGTATACCCTACCTTACTTGTGCACCTGTACTCACTTCTTGGTGGCTGTGCCGTTAAATAGCAGAGGGTAGCAGGGAGGCCTAGCCTCAGCAGTGCAGCCTTGGCCTCTCTGCTTACTTGGTTAAGTTTTTCATCAGTTGGTATCACAGTTGTAGTGCAAGTTTCTATTTGATCTTTTTTTATTTTCTAGGTTAGGAATTTTAGACTCCACTCTGCTCCTAACTTTCTGTGTGGAAACAAACTCACTGAAACTTTTTATTTTTTCTTTTTTATTTTTTCTTTTTTTGAGACAGAGTCTCACTCTGTCACCCAGGCTAGAGTGCAGCTCATTGCAACTTCCGCCTCCCAGGTTCAAGCGAGTCTCCTGCCTCAGCCTCCCAAGTAGCTGGGACTACAGGCATGTGCCACCATGGCCGGCTAATTTATTTATTTATTTTTTTTTTAGTAGAGACGGGGTTTCACTATGTTGACCAGACTGGTCTCGAACTCCTGACCTTATGATCCACCTGCCTCAGCTTCCCAAAGTGCTGCAATTACAGGCGTGAGCCACTGTGCCTGGCTCTTTTTTTTTTTCTTTGAGACGGAGTCTCACTCTGTCACCCAGGCTGGAGTGCAATAGTATGGTCTCAGCTCACTGCAACCTCTGCCTCCGGGGTTCAAGTGATTTTCCCACCTCAGCCTCCCCAGTAGCTAGGACTACAAGTGTGCCACCATACCTGGCTAATTATTTTTAGTAGAGATGGGTTTTCACTGTGTTGGCCAGGCTAGTCTCGAACTCCTGACCTTGTGATCCACCCATCTTGGCCTTCCAAAGTGCTGGGATTACAGGCGTGAATCCCCCCCCCCATTTTTGTTGTTTTTTTTTTAGAGATGGGATCTCTCTCCGTTACCCAGGCTGGAGTGCAGTGTCGTTGATCATAGCTCAAGTGATCTTCCTGCCTCAGCCTCCCAGTGTTGTGAATATAGGTGTGAGCCAACACACCCAGCCTCTTCGTATCTTAAATAAAATAAGCATAGTGTTAGGAGCCCTTCTATCCCTGAGTTTTATAAAGTAGTAATTCGTACTGCTCTTGGTCTCCCCCAGCTAAAATACTTTTTCCTGGGGACAAAGACTATGATGCTTCCTTCTTTTGTAGTCACCTGACTGAATGGTAAGGTTAATGTTCTATACACAATTAAAGCTCAGTTGGAATTAATGACTGTTAGATAAACAACTTCTTCCATTTCTGTAAGTTTTATAAAAAAGGTCATTAAACTACTTGGAAGGCAACTTCAGATTTACATTCTGTAGTGGTGCAGCTGAATTTTATTTTATTTTAATTTGAGATAGAATCTTGCTCTGTCACCAGGCTGGAGTGCAATGGCGCAATCTTGGCCCACTGCAGCCTCTGCCTCTTGGGTTCAAGTGAGTCTCTTGCCTCAGCTTCTCCAGTAGCTAGGACTACAGGCATGTGCTACCATGCCTGGCTAATTTTTGTATTTTTAGTAGAGACAGGGTTTTACCATGTTTGCTAGGCTGATCTCGAACTCTTGACCTCAGGTGATCTGCCTGCCTTGGCCTCTCAAAGTGTTGGGATTACAGGTGTGAGCCACCATACCTGGCCTGAATTTTGCAAAGTTTAAAATTGGTTCATTTTTTAGCTATATTTATTTAAAATGAAATGACTTATTTTTGGATGCATTTCTGAATAAACCAAGAAAAATCTAAAAATTTGATTTTCATTTTGTAAATGACATCTGGATATGGCATGCTTCCTCCTATTGCTCACATATTAACAACCCATTTCTGCTTTTGCAGAAAAGCACCAAGGATTCTCTTTTGTTGAATTTGAGTTGGCAGCAGTAAGAAGTTTTCCTTTTAACGTTTGACTAGTGTCATTCTTGTCATTGATTACAAATGGTGTCTGTTTGGTAGTTTCCTTGGGCTGTCATAACAAATTACCACAAACTTGGGTGGCTTACAACAACAGAAACTTATTATCTCACAGCTCTGGAGACTAGAAGTCCAAAATCAAGGTGTTGGCAGGGCCATGGCCCCTCTGAAGGCTCTAAGGAAGACTCTTGCCTTGCCTTCCTGGCATCTAGTGGCTCCTCACAATTCCTTGGCTTGTAGTATCACTTTAGTCTCTGCCTCTGTCTTCACATGGCTTTCTTCCTTGTACGTGTTTCTCTCTGTCTTCTGCTCTTATAAAGATACCAGTCTTGGGAGGCAGAGGCAGGTGGATCACCTGAGGTCAGGAGTTCAAGACCAGCCTGAACAACATGGAGAAACCCCGTCTTTACTAAAAATACACACAAAAAATTAGCTGGGCATGGTGGTGCATGCCTGTAATCCCAGCTACTCAGGAGGCTGAGGCAGGAGAATCACTTGAACCCTCAAGGCAGAGGTTGCGGTGAGCCGAGATTGTGCCATTGTACTCCAGCCTAGGCAATGAAACTCCATCTCAAAAAAATAATAAATAAAAAAGATGCCAGTCATTGGATTTAGGGTCCATAACAATTCAGTATGACCTTAACTAATTACATCTGTGAAGACTCTACTTTTGAGACACAGTCTTGCTTTGTCATCCAGGCTGGAGTGCATTGGTGTGATTATAATTCACTGTGGCCTCAAACTCCTGGGCTCAGATGCTCCTGCTGTCTCAACCTCCCAAGTAGCTAGGACTATAGGTGCACACCACCATGCCTGCCTAATTTTTAAAATTTTTATAGAGATGAGGGTCTCACTATATTGCCCAGGCTCATCTTCAACTCCTAGCCTCAAACCATCCTCCTGCTTCAGCTTCCCAAAGCTTTGGGATTCTGAGGTTTAGGCAGACATGCATTTTGGACGATGCTATTCAACCCACTATAGTGGCTCAGTAGTGACTTTTGCAGAGAAACAGGAAGTTCTGGTTGAAGGATGGTCACCAGGCCTGGCTCAGAGTTCCCTTCCTGTATTCAGAGTATAGAAGGCAGGTCTTGCAGAGGCCTGAGCCCTCTGGACTGGCATTGCTTGTTCCTGTTTTACTGTGTGTATTCTCTCTCTCCATCACCTGGGCACACATCCGTACACCGCCAGTTCTAACAGGCAGTATACTCTTAGTAAAATACAGTCTAGGCAAGTAAGAGGGGAAATTGTGTCTTTTTTTGTGCTACTGAGTTATTATTTGAACACGTAAGAAGAGTTGAACTATAGGCATGAACTTTTTCCTTGTATATTTTTGGCAGGATATTGCTGCAGCTGTCAACAATGTGGTATGGCTGAGAATCTTTGTTTTTTACTGAAGCTGTTATTTGGTTCTACTTTTTGGTGTAAGGAATGTGCTTATTGTGTTTCCAGTTTCCGTAGTTTCGTTTCTTTTTTTTTTAAATACATATATTTCTTCATTAAACCAAAAACAACAGTTTCCATAGTTTCAAAGTTCTGTAGCAAGCACAGGTCATCATTATTTGAAATAATTCACTATGAACTGGCTACTTATAAAATTAATTCATTTCTTTTTTTTTTTTTTTGAGACTGAGTCTCGCCATATCACCTAGGCTGGAGTGCAATGGCGCGATCTTGGCTCACTGCAACCTCTGCCTCCCAGGTTCAAGCGATTCTCCTGTCTTAGACTCTGGAGTAGCTGGGATTACAGGTACCCGCCACCACACCCGGCTAATTTTTGTATTTTTAGTAGAGATGGGGCTTCACCATGTCAGCCAGGCTGGTCTTGAACTACTGACCTCAAATGATCTGCCTGCCTCAGCCTTTCAAAGTGCTGGAATTACAGAAAATTTAATTCTTAACCAGACATCCTCTCATTTCACACTTGTGTAAATACCAACCACCTTTCTTGGCCAATCTCTTCTTGACTGTTTTGCAGAGGTCAGCAAACTCCAGCCTGTGGGCCAAATCATCCCACAGTCTGGTTTTGGTATTTTTAAATTTTATTTTAGACACAGTCTCGCTGTATTACCCAGACTGAAGTGGAGTGCAGTGGCATGATCTCGACTCACTACAACCTCCACCTCCCTGACTCAAACAATCCTCCCACTTCTGCCTCCCAGGTAGCTAGGACTACAGGTGTGTGCTTCCATACCTCGCTAGTTTTAGTATGTGTTTGTTTGTTTGTTTGTTTTGAGACGGAGTCTCACTCAGTTGCCCAGGCAGGAGTACAGTGGCATGATCTCTTAAAGCAGCTCATTGCAACCTCCACCTCCTGGGTTCAAGCAATTCTCCTGCCTCAGCCTCCCGAGTAGCTGGGATTACAGGCACATACCACCATGCCCAGCTACTCTTTGTATTCTTGGTAGAGAGGGGGGGTTTCACCATGTTGGTCAGGCTGGGATCGAACTCCTGACCTCATGATCCACCTGCCTCGGCCTCCCAAAGTGCTGCGATTACAGGCGAGAGCCACCGTACCCGGCCAATCCATCTTTGTTTTTAAGAACAAAGGACGTAGCTGTAATTATAACCTCAGTCTTACTAAATTAATGAATCTTTTTTTTTAATAGAACTTTTAGTTTTCATGAAAAGGCCCAAAACAAACTTCTTTTGAAGTACCAATTGTTCTTGGCTAATGAAATATTTCTACACTTCATTCCATGTTCTTTGTTACGCCTTCATCAAACATGCCCCTTAGCAGTCAACAATAGCATTTTTTTCTCCAGTCCAAAGCCGATCTTGACTTTCTAAGGTAGACTCAGGTACTTGGTAACTGCATTTACCCTTATAATTTTAGAGAGTCCTGAACTCAAATCCAAAGATCTTGCCAGCACAGACCTTCCTGTTTGTTGGTATTGAAGGAAGTGCATGGTAGCTCCAGGGCATTCTAGTGGTTAGCTTTGTGTTAGCCTGCTTATGGGGTGCAGGCTCCCGGGCTTGGAATCACAAGCAGGTCTCAGGCTCCTGGGAAGTAAATGGAAGACTGTCAGGTATTCTTTCAACGTAACAGGTTTAAGCAGCTGAGTTGTATTTCAGTCTTTTCAGAATAAATCTGAGCTCTTTGGGTGGATAATATGTGTCATTTTGGCCAAACCAATGAGAGTTAAGGAAGGCTCTTCCAGACCAGGTGAGTGGGAACAACTCACAGATTCCCTGTCATGTCCACAGCTTTGGCCTTGGCTGCCTTTTTTTTTTCCAGATAGAGTCTTACTCTGTCGCTCAGGCTAGAGTGCAGTGGTGCGATCACAGCTCACTGCAACCCCTGCCTTCCAGGTTCAATTGAGTCTTATGCCTCAGCCTCCCAAGTAGCTGGGATTACAGGCATGCACCACCACACCCGGCTAATTTTTGTATTTTTGGTAGAGACAGGGTTTCACCATGTTGGCCAGACTGGTCTCTGATCCACCTCCCTTACTTCCTCTTGTAGTGATGGTATGAACACAAGTAGAGTGGTTTATAGTGGAGAAGAGAATGTAGCACCTCCATGGAAATAAAAACATGAGCTTGAGATTCTTAGTAAAGCTGGAGGCACTGCTCCATGTGAAAGACTAGCTTTTGGACATAGTCATAACTATGCCCTGTCAGCCCTGACACAGGCTGGACATTCCTTTTGGCTTGATTTAGTTCCTCCTCCTCATTCTCATTCACTTCTGTTAAGAGCTGGACTTAAGGCCTGACGTTTCCCAGTGACAACTTTTCTTGTCTTGTTCTAAGAGGGAACTTCTGACTATGAAAGCCTACCTAGTGAGCCCACTTTGTTGGCTAAAGCAGTGAAGAACTGGACATAGCTCATTAGCTATTGGCTGATGGCTTGAATTTCTTAACATTCATTTGATTCCTTCCTTTCAGTTTGGTCAGATGAAGACTGGGTGGAGAAGTTTTCTGGGAAGAGGATGAAAAGAAAGATGATTCAGAACCTCCCAAAGCAGAAAGCCAAGAGGTGAGAATGAGATTCATGCTTCCAGAGGAGAGGCTGCTGCTTTCCACCCAGGGAACTGAGGTGAGTGGTGTTGGGTGAATTGAAAGGAGAAGTTCTGGGTTCCTTATCTGGGTGAGAAGTACCTTAAGTGGGCTCAGGAATTTGTAATTGCTGCTGAGCGAGGCGAACATCTGAGATGAGAAAGGGTGGTGAGTACTCCCCATCACCAGCATCTACTGTCCTAGTCTTTGGCAGCAGGCTTACTGTCTTCCTGTTCCTGCCCTGATTCCAAGGGGGTAGAATCATGTAGAGGCCCCTTCCCCTCAGTCAGTATGCAGGCACAAGGCTCTCCCCCCGTCCCCCCGTACTTGCTCCTGCTTCTCCATTAGACCATCCTGACTGTTGCTTCCCAGGATAACTTAGGGGCTCCTCCTCCTCTGTCCATCCTTGAGCAGTGATATTTCCCTGAATTCCTTTCTTAGCCTTCAGATCCTCTCTCCACATTATCCTTGTGCCATGCCAGCCACTTCTATCACCTAAGGTTATAACGATGATTCATTGTCCAGATGATATTCTGATCTCTATCCCTAGCCCTGACCTTTCACATGTTTCTGTCTGGATGTCTTATAGGCACCATAAATAAAGCGTATCCCAAACGGGTTTCATCACCTTTCACTCTAGTCCTCCTTTATGCCCAATCTTGGTTCACTTTGCTGTCTTCAACATAGTCACACCCAAACCAGATTCCCCAGTCCCAGCTTAGACCCCTCACGATATTTCATACCATGCATTGCCATACCCTGCTAATTTTATCTTTTAAATCTTGCATTTCTCCTCTCCAGTTTTTTTCTGCCACTGTTGTCTTGGCTGAGGTCTTACCCTCTTTCCTGTGAATAATTGGAGTAGCTTCCTAACTGGTCTACCTGCCCCAGGCCTGCTTTCCTCCTCTCCTTAGCAGCCAGAGGGAGCTTTCTGAAGGGCTGATCTAACTATACCACTCGCCTCATTTATAGGATTGACTCCAGCCTCCATCAAAAGGGATGGAAGGCCTCTCTATGTTCTGACCCCTGCTTATCTCTCCACATTTTATCCCCAGTTTTTATTCTAGGAAACAAAAGTTTGCAGATACCTGTAAATCTCTGTGTTTTGGTGTAAGTCATTCCTCTGCCTGCAGTGTCCTTTCCAACTTATTTTATGTGGCTAATGCCTGCTCATTTCTCATAGCTTAGCCCATTTACTGCCTTCTCCAGGATGCTTTTCTGAATCCTGCAGTGTGTGAGGTAAGTATCACTCTGGGCTCCCATGGCCTCTGGGTTCCTCTGGCACCCTCTGTCCTGGCATTATATTGAAATGTAATTATATGGAAATGTGAGTGGATTATATTGAAATCACTTATTTAACAAATGTCTAAATATTGCTCACTCTGTGCCAGGCACTGTTCTAAGTGCTTTACTAATATTTTATTTATTTATTTATTTATTTATTTTGAGATGGAGTTTCATTCTTGTTGCCCAGGCTGGAGTGCAATGGCACAATCTCGGCTCACTGCAACCTCTGCCTCCCAGGTTCAAGCGATTCTCTTGCCTCAGCCTCCTGAGTAGCTGGGAATACTGGCATGTGCCACCATGCCCAGCTAATTTTGTATATTTAATAGAGATGGGATCTCTCCATGTTGGTCGGGCTGGTCTCAAACTCCCGACTTCAGGTGATCCACTTGCCTAGGCCTCCTAAAGTGCTGGAATTATAGGCATGAGCTAATGCCAGGCTGATAAGTACTATCGTTATCCCTACTTCTAGGTGAGGAAGCTCTGGGGCACAGTGAGGTCAGTACCTTGTCCAGTGTTACACAGTTCATAAGTGGTGGAGCTGAGATCTGAACTAAGGCTGTAGAGCTCCAGGATCCGTGTGCCTCTTACATTGTGGATATCCCTCCCCCAGTGGCTAGCCAGTTCCTCAAGGCCAGGGGCCATATCTATCTAACTGCCTATCAATTTTTTTTTTTTTTTTTTGAGTCAGGGTCTTGCTCTGTTGCCTAGGCTGGTGTGCAGTGGTGTCATCACAGTTCACTCCCAGGCTTAAGTGATCCTCCTGTCTAGCCTCTCAACTAGTTGGAAGTACAGGCATGCCACCATACCCAGTTAAATTTTTCATTTTTTATTTTGTAGAGACAGGGTCTTATTTTGTTGCCCAGATTGATCTCAGAACTCCTGGGCTCAATCATTCCTCTTGCCTGGGCCTCCCAAAGTGCTGGGATTATAGAGTGAACCACCCACCCAACCATATCTGGTTATTTTATTTATTTTTTTTTTTGAGACGGAGTTTCGCTCTTGTTACCCAGGCTGGAGTGCAATGGCGCGATTTCGGCTCACCGCAATCTCCACCTCCTGGGTTCAGGCAATTCTCCTTCCTCAGCCTCCCGAGCAGCTGGGATTACAGGCACGCACCACCGTGCCCAGCTAATTTTTTGTAATTTTAGTAGAGACGGGGTTTCACCATGTTGACCAAGATGGTCTCGATCTGTTGACCTTGTGATCCACCCGCCTCGGCCTCCCAAAGTGCTGGGATTACAGGCTTGAGCCACCGCGCCCGGCCCATATCTGGTTATTTAAGAATCCCGGTACTTAGCCTGATAGCTCAATACCTGTATGTTGAACTACTAATTCAAACTACAAAGAGGTCAAAAACAATAGAGTTTTCTCTACCTCACAAATGGGAGGGTTTGTATTGAATGTTGTATTTATCTTCTAGCCAATCTTATCTTGGAGCACCAAGCAAAATGACCCAGCCTCCGCCACTATCTTCTGAGTGCCTAGGCCTGAGCAAGAGGGCTGCCTCCTTGCTTTTATGTAGCCAGCCCTCGTATGTGTAGCATAGAGGGAGGAGGTGGTGGGACATGAATGGCTTCATTTAATTGGAAGACAGTGGGTAGATTGGAATTGGCATTTGAAGATTTGAGAGTTGTTGATCTTGGGCCAGAAAAGTGCTGTTCTGTGACTGCAGGGCAGGAGGAGGAAACTGATACTTCTGAGGGTGAGCCTGATGAGATAACATACTCATGTGTGGGGCTCAGGTTAGCCAGTGCTGAGGTCTCCTGTTAGCCCCTCCTGTAGCAGCACATCCAGCTGGTGCTACAGCTGGGGCTCCTGCCTCCTGCAGCCCTGTCAGGCCCAAGGCCTTCCCCGTTAGCACTTGCTCCAGCCTGCTCACTGGAGTTGTGTTCTGGGTGGGTATGTAGAATACTCACACTCCTATCTGGGGTGTCAGGGAGCTCTCTGTAACTAGCAATTTCTTTTGTACCTAGGGAGAGACTGCCTCTAAAAAGGCCTGGTCAAATCTTCAGGTGTACATGGATTGGGAACAAGCTGGCCGGCCGCATCCAGATGCTCCTGCATTCTGACGTCGTGCCCATGACAGCAGGTGAACAGGGTGCTGGGATGAGGACAGTGGTGGCTGAGCAGGTTGGAGAGGAAGCTACCTGGAGTCCTGGGCCCTTAACATTTTTCATCTGAGGCATCTCATATCCCAGCATCTAGTAACAAATGAGGCACAGCAGGCATTTTTGAAGCTCTATAAAGGCTTAGAGCCATTAGAAAGAGTAGGTAAATAAAAGTTATAAACAGTTTTATCCTCTGGTTTGGTTTAATTGGTTTTTTTTGTAATTTTATTTGGATATGTTTTCAAACTTACAGATGTATAGAATAAGAATTCTGTAAGAATATTTCAAGGGGCCAGGTGCAGTGGCTTACACCTGTAATCTCAGCACTTTGGGAGGCCATGGCTGGAGGATCAGTTGAGTCCAGGAGTTTGAGATCAGCCTGGGAAGCACAGCAAGATGCCATTTCTACAAAAAAATATAACATTAGACAGGTATAGTAGCATGTGCCCATAGTTCCAGCTATTTAAGAGGCTGAGACAGGAGGATGGCTTCTTCAACCCAGGAGGTTGAGGCTGCAGTGAGCCATCATTCCACCACTGCACGCCAGTCTGGGCAACAGAGCAAGGCCTTGGCAGAAAGAAAAAAAATCAAGGAAAAAAAAAAACAAGAAAAAAAATATTTAGAGGAACTCTTCTGTATCCCTTACCTACTCAATAATTTCCTTTTCGTGCCCTGTATGCTTTATCATTTTCTTTATGTATATTATACACAGATGCATATATGTATTTTTCCCCTGTTCCACTTGAGAAATTGAAGACCATGCACCTTGACTCCTAAATACTTCAGTATATATTTCCTAAGAACCAGAATATTCCCTGGCATAATAGAGTACAACTATCAAAATTATAAAATGTGGCATCGAGTACTTTGATGAGCCATATTCAAATTTATCACTTGTCCCAATATCGTTCTTGATAGTAATTTTTCTTCCCTGACAAGGAATTCCACATTGATTTAGTTGTTGAGTCTCTTTAGTCTCCTTTTTTTGTTGTTGAGATGGAGTCTCACATTATTACCCAGGCTGGAGTGCAGTGGCACAATCCTGACTCACTGCAACCTCCGCCTCCCGGGTTCAAGCGATTCTCCTGCCTTAGCCTCTCGAGTAGCTGGGACTGCAGGTGTCTACCACCATGCCCGGCTAATTGTATTTTTAGTAGAGATGGGGTTTCACTATGTTGGCCAGGCTGGTCTTGAACTCCTGACCTCATGATCCGCCCATCTCAGCCTCCCAAAGTGCTGGGATTACAAGGGTGAGCCACTGCACCCAGCCTAGTCTCCTTTTATTAGAAACAGTTTGTTAATTTCATTGCCATTTTTGATCTTGACATCTTTGAAGAGAATAGGCCAGTTGTGTTTAAGGGTGCTTCTCAGTTTGTATTTGCCTAGTACTGCTTCACGATTTGATTTAGGTTATGTGTTTTGGCAGCAGTAGCACAGAAGCAGTGTTGTTAGTGTATCGTATGAGGAAGTACATGATATCAGTTCAGATGTTCGTGAAGTTGACTTTGTTGACTTGGTCAAGCAGTTATTTGCCAAGTGTCTTCACTGGAAAAATGCTATTTTGTTTTTCTTTGAGACAGGGTCTAGTTCTATTGTCCAGGCTGGAGTGCAGTGGTGTGATCACGGCTCACTGCAGCTTCGACTTTCCAGGCTCAAGTGATCTCCCAGGTCAGCCTCCAACATAGCTGGGACCACAGGCATGCCCCACCATGCTCAGCCTATTTTTCATTCAGATGGAGGTTTCACTATGTTGTCCAACTAATTTTTGTATTTTTTTGCAGAGATGGTGGGGTTTTGCCATGTTGTCCAGTCTGATCTTGAACTGGTCTCAAATGATTCTCTCACTTCAGTCTCCCAAAATGCTGGGATTACAGATATGAGTAACCGCACCCAGCCAGAAAAGTACTATTTTTAAGAGTATCAATCAAAAGCTGAAATTTTTTCTTCTTACCATTTAGCCCATCTCCCATAGGTAGTTACTATTGACAGTTGTATTTTCCTTTTTTCTTTTTTTTTGAGTCAGAGTCTTGCTGTGTCGCCAGGCACCAGGCTGGAGTGCAATAGCGCAATCTCTCCGCCCACTGCAATCTCTGCCTCCTGGGTTCAAGCAATTCTCCTGCCTCAGCCTTCCGAATAGCTGGGACTACAGGCACCCACCACCATGCTCAGCTAATTTTTGTATTTTTTTAGTAGAGACAGAGTTTCACCATGTTGGCCAGGATAGTCTTGATCTCTTGACCTCATGATCTGCCCACCTCGGCCTCCCAAAGTGCTGGGATTACAGGCATGAGCCACTGCACCCAGACATCCCCTTTTTTCTTAAATATTCATAATGATCTTTTTTACCTATAATATTTTTTGTCTTAATCTAGCTTTGTAAAATGTTTCTAAGTCATAATTGCATATAGTTTAAAGAAAATTGTTCTATAATAAAACATTTTCTGTTCCGCCTACCATCATTTTTCTGCCCTGCTGAAGGCAACATTCATTCCTTTTAACTATTTTAATTATTTGGGCTTTTGTTGCTATGTCTCTAAAAATATATTACTGCTACTTGACTTTTTTCAGTTTTTGGCTGTTTATGGTTAAATTTTTTCTGGGAAACACCCGTAGAGATTTGGATGCGGGAAGTTTGTTGGGGAGTGATCTCAGGAACAACTCCCGCAGATGAGGGAAGCAGACTGGGCAGACGGAGGGATAGAACTGCCTGCAGTCACACAGATGCCCCAGCTGATCCCAGGGGCAGTTTTGGCGTGTGGATATCCCTTCAGAGTTATCCTGAACTAAGGCCAGGGGATAAGGCCCTTGTGTCCTCCTGTGGACCAGTCACCAATTCGGGCTGATTCCCAGGAGTGGTGTGAACGTTGGTGAGGCAGCTCCCTTTGGCCAAGGGCATTTTCTGGGATGAGTCTCATCCTGGGGCTGGTGGTACCCAACACTTCTGGATGCTGAGGGAATTGACGGTTGTGGTCTTGCAGGGATTCTGACTGGCATACCCCAGCATCCACTGTGCTCCTCCCATTGTATCTCTCAGATCCACTTGCTTCCTGTAAGTTCACTTCACTTGAGGTTGGCTCCTTCAGAGTTCTGGTTAAGCTCTTTTTCTAGGGAAATTAGAGGAAAGATAGTGGGATGAACTTTGGTCCCCATTGTTGCTGTCAGTCCCAGAACTGCAACTGATACTCATCATCTTCCTCCTCTACTATCTTTTTTTTTTTAGATGGAGTCTGCTCTTGTCGCTCAGGCTGGAGTGCAGTGGCACAATCTTGGCTCACTTCAATCTCTGTCTCCCGGGTTCAAGTGGTTCTCCTGCCTCAGCCTCCCAAGTAACTGGGATTACAGGCACCCACCACCATGCTCGGGTAATTTTTGTATTTTTAGTAGAAACGGGGTTTCACCATGTTGGCCAGGCTGGTCTCAAACTCCTGACCTCAGATGATCCACCTGCCTTGGCATCCCAGAGTGCTGGGATTACAGGTGTGAGCCACCATGCTTGGTCTCCCTCCTCTGCCATCCATTTTAGATGCCTCTCATCCTCACCTCAGCTGGCTCCTCTGCTCATCTAAATGGCTTAGCTGGTAGGGTGACCTAGACCTTTGCCTGTGGGAATTTGAGCTCCTGGTCACTATATACCTTCTCAGTTCACGGCTGCCTAGCACCATTGGGCAGGGGAGTCCAAATTTTTTCAGTTGTCCTAAGACCAGTTTATAGAAAGTCCATCTTTGCCCCAGTGATTTAAGATGCCAAGCTTTGTGAAATACTTAATTCCTTTTTTTATATACATATTATAATAGAGACAAGGGCTTGCCATGTTGTCCAGGCTGGTCTCCAACGCCTGTGCTCTGGCAGTCCTCCTGCCTTAGCCTCCCCAAGTACTGAGATTATAGATGTGAGCCACCATGCCCAGATGAAATGCTGAATTTCCATACATATCTGGGTCTATTCTGGACTTTCTTTTCTGTTCTTCTAATCTGTTCAATCTATTTGTGTGCTGCTTCCACACTTAAGCATTTAGTTTAAATGAAAGTACTATGTGCCTTTTTAGATTTGAAGAGTTGGAGTTTGGGCCCCCACATAGGTGGGCTGCAGAAATGTGTCCTCCCTCAGAATCAGGAGGGCAACCTCCTGCCCTCACAGGCTCTCATGGGCTCCAAGCAGAGGCCCTGGGGCTGAGCCGCATGGAGTCACCTTTTATTGAGTGTAATAAAGAAACTGAGGCTGGAGTGCAGTGGCTCGAATGTGGCTCACTGCAGCCTCAACCTCCCGAGATTAAGAGAGCCTCACACCACAGCCTCCCAGTAGCTGGGACTACAGGTACATGCCACCATGCCCAACTATTTTTTTTTTTTTTTAGACAAAGTCTGGCTCTGCTGCCCAGGCTGGAGTGCAGTAGCATGAACTTGGCTCCCTGCAGCCTCTGCCTCCTGGGTTCAAGCGATTCTCCTGCCTCAGCTTCCCCAGTAGCTGAAATTACAGGTGTGCACCACCACACCCAGCTAATTTCTATATTTTTAGTAGAGACAGGGTTTCACCATATTGTCTAGGCAAGTCTCGAACTGCCTACCTGAGGTGATCCACCCACCTTGGCCTCCCAAAGTGCTGGGATTATAGGTATGAGCCACTGTGACTGGGACCCAACTAATTATTTTTATTTTTGTAGATATAGTGTGTTACAGAGAGCTGGAGTTTTAATTATCTAGTTAGATATTCTTACCTCAGCACTTTTCCCTTTCTCAACCCCAGAGAATTTTCACTACCTGTGCACCCATGTAAAGGACTTGGTTTCAAGGGAAGCAGCTTCCACTGCATCATCCCCCAGTTCATGTGTCAGGGCAGTGATTTCACAAACCACAGTGGCACCAGGGGCAAGTGCATTGACAAGAAGAAATTTGATGATGAAAACTTTATCTTCAAACACACAGGACCAGGTAGGAATCACTCAACATGTGGTGACAAGGGAGGCTGGGCAAGGGTGGGCTGGCTGTGCAGGATAGAAGGATGAGCCGTGGTTCTAGCTGAGAAACGGGGAGTCTGGAGGAGACCCAGCCACCAGATGCAGGAGGACCGTTCAGCCTTGCTAGGGTGGAGTTAGCTCTGGGCTTTGGAAACCTTTTTTTTTTTTTTGGCTTATTTCAGTTCCCATTTGTCTCCTTTTAAAAGAGGAAGAAGCATAGGCGCCTGGGTCTGCTCCTACAGTGGTGTCTCATTATTGTTTTTGTAACTTTTTGCTTTATGTAATATCACGCTCACAGAAGAGTTACAAGAATAGCACGATGAACCCCATACACCTTCGCTGGCATTCACTCAGGTTCACCAGTTGTTTATACTGGTGAACTTAATTTCCTGTTTCTTCTCCTGTATATATTTATAGACAGTGTTTGGTTTTTTTTTTTTAAGATGGAGTCTCGCTCTGTCTACCAGGCTGGAGTGCAGTGGTGCCATCTTGGCTCACTGTAACCTCCGACTACCTGGTTCAAGTGATTCTCCTGCCTCAGCCTCCCTAGTAGCTGAGATTACAAGTGCCCACCACCACACCCAGTTAATTTTTGTATTTTTAGTAGAGACGGAGTGGAACTGTTGGCCAGGATGGTCTTGATCTCCTGACCATCATCTCCTGTAGCTGGGGCTACAGGTGCGTGCCACCACGCCTGGTATAAATTTTTTTTTTTGTAGTTTTAGTAGAGATGGGGTTTCAGTGTGTTAGCCAGGATGATCTTGATCTCCTGACCTAGTGATCTGCCTGCTTTGGCCTCCCAAAGTGCTGGGATTACAGGCATGAGCCACCATGCCCGGCCTGACAGTGCATATTTTTTTTAGAGCCATTTGAGAGTAAGTGGGAGTGTTCATGTTCCTCTACCACTAAATACTTCTGCATCTATTTCATGAGAAACAGAATATTTTTAATATTACCAGGACATAGTTATCAAAATCAGAAAACAAACACTGCTTCAATACTATTCTCTCATCTGCAGTGCATATTTAGATTTCCTCATGTGACACCACATCATCCTTTTCGAGGTTTTCGTGGTTGGCATGTGTCCTGGACTCATGGATGCTCTGCCCATCCACCCATGCCACACTGCCCTGTTGCCTCACTCACATCCCACACGCCATCGCTGGATGCACTCTTCTTCCTCTTGCCAAGGAGCCCGCTGCCTTTCTCTTGTGCTCCTTTTACCTAGTGCAGAACTCTGTATGCTGGAGGGGGACCTGAGCTGTCCCCGCTTGAGTTGAGGAGCTCAGGTCTTAAGGGCACCTTAAGCAATGCCCAGTGGTCCTCCCAGATTTCTGGAGGTACTTGTCATCCATGGTCTGAAGGGAAAACATACCTTTTCTTCACTCCTCAGCCCTCCACCATTGCCTCATAGATTCTGCCTCTCAGCTGATGGTGTCACTTATTTATAGAAACAATCAGAAGAGAACTAGTCTTTTCATGGCCATATCTCCTCCCCTGGCTGCATCATTCTTTCCTGCCTGGCCTGCTTGCCTTCCTGTAACAGTGGTGACCTCCCTTCTCTCTCCTTTTGCCCCATGGCATCTTCTCCTCAGTCTCTTTCCTTGTCTCTTCCTTTTCCCAGTCTCTAAGTTTTTGGAAGGACCCAGTGCTCACCATGGCTTTTCTTTATCTGTATTCACTCTTTTTTTTTTTCTTCTTTTTTTTTTTTTTTTAGACGGAGTTTCGCTGTTGTTACCCAGACTGGAGTGCAATGGCGCGATCTCGGCTCACTGCAACCTCCGCCTCCTGGGTTCAAGCAATTCTCCTGCCTCAGCCTCCCGAGTAGCTGGGATTACAGGCGCACACCACCATGCCCAGCTAATTTTTGTATTTTTAGTAGAGACAGGGTTTCACCTTGTTGACTAGGATGGTCTCGATCGACCTCGTGATCCACCCGCCTTGGCCTCCCAAAGAGCTGGGATTATAGGTGTGAGCCACTGCGCCCGGCCTGTATTCACTCTTTACCTTAATAGTTCTCACCCTTTTAGCCTAGCACCTGCCTCTTACAGCTCAACTGGGCTGAGATGGAAGTGACAGCTTTACACCCTTCCGTGAGTGCCTAATTTAAAACACAATATTGGCCGAGTGCAGTGGCTCACATCTGTAATCCCAGCACTTTGGCTGGCCGAGGTGGGAGGATTATTTGAGCCTAGGAGTTTGAGTCCAGCCTGGACAACTTGGCAAGACCCCATCTCTACAACAAATACAAAAATCAGCCAGGCATGGTGGTGCACACCTGTAGTCCCAGCTACTTGGGAGGCTGAGATGGGAGGATGGCTTAAGCTTGGGAGGCAGAGGTTGCAGTGAGCCAAGATTGTACCATTTGTATTCCAGCCTGGGTGACAGAGCAAGACTCTGTCTCAAACAAAAAACCGCACAGTATTATGCCATGGTTGTAATATAAAGGGAAATTAAAGGAAAATATTTTGTAATAGCATAATATGCATTTCAGTATTCAAATGCTTTTACACAACTACATGTATAAAATATTTGAACATATGTACTTCTGCCTAGAGCAGCAATCAGCAGTATGGACTGATTCAGGTGTGTCGTTTTGGCAGAATCAAAGTAACATAAAGTTTTGAAATAGTAAAAATCTCTTGGTAAAATTCTGAACAAAAAGGAATGAAGTGTGACAGGATGGGTTGATTTATGGAAAAATTTGATACAAAAAATAATTCTTTGGATTTATATGGAAAATAGAGTTAAGTTCTAGGCTCAGATCATTATAAATAGATTTTTCTTTTCTTTCTTTCTTTTTCTTTTCTTTTTTTTTTTTGAGACAGAGTCGTGCTCTGTTGCCAGGCGCCAGGCTGGAGTGCAGTGGCACCATCTCCGTTCACTGCAACCTCTGCCTCCTCAGTTCAAGCAACTCTCCTGCCTCAGCCTCCCAAGTAGCTGGGATTACAGGCGCGTGCTACCATGTGCATATTTTTGTATTTTAGTAGAGATGAGGTTTCACCATGTTGGCCAGGATGGTCTCAATCTCTTGACCTCATGATCAGCCCACCTAGGCCTCCCAAGGTGCTGGGATTATAGGTGTGAGCCACTGGCCATAAATAAATTTTTCTTATTTACATGAATGTTATTCAGGGTTTTCAAAAATCCAGGATTTAGAATAACTCTTCATTAGGTGGGAGATTGCAGGACATGTAGAGTCCCTCCCTATCCCTTCCTTCGAATGCCAGTAGCACCCTATTACTGACCACCAAAAATAGACTGCAATTTCTGCTAGCCCCTAGGGGGCAGTATGACACCACTAAGAACCCATGCCCTGGGCAATCACACCGGGTCCCAGGACTTTCGGTGAAATCACTGAGTAAAGCTTGGCCACATGGGTCTCCAAGCTGATGGCTCCCTGAGCTGCGGAATCCTATCCAACTACCTACCTGTCACCTTTGCTGGATATCCCACGAGCATCTCACACTTCACATGTCCAAAATGTGGCCTTGGCCTTCTCCCATAAACCCTTCCTCCTTTTCAGTAAATGACTCCACCATCCACTTGGCTGCTTGGTCAGAAACTTGGAAGTCATCGTGGACTCCTGCATCACCTGCAGGTCATATTTATCTGGCTTCAAGTCATCTCCTGGACCAGCCACTCTTCACCCTTTCCCCCTACCACCAACTCCTCCTGTTTCCAGCCTGGCTTCTTCACCTTCATAGTCTGATCTTCACCTGGCAGACAGACTGATTGTTTTGTTTTGTTTATTCCCCCAAGATGGAGTCTTGCCCTGTCACCCAGGCTGGGGTGCAGTGGTGTGATCTCAGCTCACTGCAACCTCTGCCTCCTGGATTCAAGTGATTCTTCTGCCTCAGCCTCCTGAGTAGCTGGGATTACAGGCATTCACCACCATGCCCTGCTGATTTTTGTATTTTCAGTAGAGATGGCGTTTCATCATGTTGGCCAGGCTGGTCTTGAATTCCTGACCTCACCTTGGCCTCCCAAAGTGCAGGGATTACAGACGTGAGTCACTGCCTGGTGCAGAGTGATTGTTTTTAATCATAAATCTGATCACATCATCTTCATGCTGATCCATCCTGTGGTGTACCTGGGACCCTGTCCTACAGGGCTAACCCAACTTGGGTCTTGGCACTTCTCTGTGCTCCTAGGATGTGCTGCCCCTCGCCCTCTGCATTCACAGACAGTCTCGCTGTTCCTCAGACATGCTGAGCTCACTTCTGCCTTGGACTTTGCACATGCCCTTTCCTCTCCTGGAGTGTTCTTCCTCCACTGTCCAGATGGTTCACACCCACTTTCTTCAGATGCCACGCATGTGTCCCCTCAACTGAGAGGCCTACCCTGACCTCTTCCTAAAATAGGCTTTTCTGCCATCTCACTCTTTTTAATCAGCTTCATTTTTCTTCTTACGCTTATTACCTGTAATAGTGTTATACATTTAATATTTTACTTATTTATTTTCAGTCTTCCTTTCTCCAATGTCAGCCTCATGAGGGCAGGACTTAGGCTTTCTTGTTCACCATTGTATTCTGGAACAGTGTCTGGCACACAGCAAGCATGCAATAAATATTTGAATATTTAACTATTTTTAAAAGCTATTGGTTGGGCGTGGTGGCTCATGCCTGTAATCCCAGCACTTTGGGAGGATGAGGCAGGCAGATCACCCTCAGTCAGGAGTTAGAAACCAGCCTGGCCAACATGGTAAAAACCTCATCTCTGCTAAAAATGCCAACAAATTAGCTGGGTGTCGTGGTGAGCACCTGTAGTCCTAGCTACTTGGGAGGCTGACGCAGGAGAATTGCTTGAATCCAGGAGGCAGAGGTTGTAGTGAGCCCAGATCGCGCCACTGCACTCCAGCCTGGGACAGAGCAAAACTCTATCTCAAAAAAAAAAAAAAGAGTAGAATAGAACATGGTCCCCAAATGAAGGAAGTACCCAGTCTGGAGGCTCAGCCATGAAGAGGGGGTTTCT